TGTGTTGTTCCAGAGGGGTGAATGAAGACCAAATAATGAAAGTGCCAAAAAGACAGGGTCTGGCTATAGGTAACTGTTTGTGTTATTCAGTGTGAAAGATATCACCTAGTATAATAATGGATTTCTTGCCCCTCAGTGTATTAAAGTGAGGGCAAGATGTCCTCTGTCATGAACACCTTCGGAGAATTCTGGAGAATTTGGCAGAAGTCAAACTAGATAATTTTTATTATAAAATATTTATAATGATTCAAACTTTTCCCATCTACCTATAAAATAAAATCTATCACGTGCCTTCCTTCAGAAACAACACAGGGCACTTAGAGAAATAAATATCAAAAGACATTAAGGAAACACAAACCAGAGAGTTCTTCATTCTTAAGAACAATAAAATAGACACTTGAGGGGAGGAATTAAAAATTCTCCCCAACAGATTCCTCCTCCTATTCAGCAGTCTTTGAATCCTCTATTACAGAGTTGTGAGTGCTAACTTAATGATTTAGGAGCATTAGAAAACCAGACCTTGGATTTCTAGAACATAGTTCCTATACCTACCTTATTCTGGGAGGGAATCTCCCTTGTCACACATGTACAGAAGAAGGAAACAGCAGACCATATCCCCACACTGAGGATGGATGCACTGAAATACAGGTTGAGGCCCTCTCTACAAGGGGCGATGGAACCAGGTGGAGCTAGTTTGTGGGAAGGTCATCTTCAAAGCTCTTCTGGGAACACTGGTCACACTGGTCTCCCCAGATCAGGATGAACCAGCATTTACAATCCCACACCATCACATGCTGGTCCAATTCACATACATCAGATAAGTCCGACTCAAGGGATTTTTTCAAGGTCTCACTGTATCCAAATCAATTCCTTTAAATTTGTCATCATTTTTGTGACTCCATTTTTGAGACTACATTGTCTTTTGAACATTTATGGAAGACCAACTAGAATTGGGCAAGGTAAAATATGAAATTGACTGAACATTTTACCATGATTTAAGTACAGATGTGAATATAAATACTTAAGGTAAGACTTTATGTTCTTTCCCAAGCTAAAATGAACTAAAGGCAAAAAAAAGGTAGGAGAGTTACTCTTTTAGATGATTTCATTAGGACACCCTAAATTCACTTGGGTATATTCAAGTTTTTCTTTCCCATCTCTGTGTAAGAATTGTACTTTCATGGTAGATTTGGCAGTTTATAACTTTTGAAATTAGACCTTGCAGTTTTAAATTCTATATAATTATTTTCCAATTTTGCACAGTTTTTGATAGCAGCTAAACTCAGAACAAGCCTGTGAGAAAAATTAGGCTTTTCCTTCACTAATCCATGATGAATGTATGCAAAAAAGTGGAACGACACAAAGGTCTATGCAAACTCTGTCTTGGGACTGAGAACTTTCATTTGCAGATTTTAATTGAAAGGTAGATGTTTGCAAAATGTTTACTTTGCATTCACAGTTGATTCATCAGCAAATTTTTGGTTGCCAATCAAGGCCCCCAAAACCCTCAAGAGAAGGCTGTGAGCAAAGAGAGAGAACTTTAGAGCAAGAGGAATTTGGCATGAGTCCTGGTTTATTTTACAATCCTAGCTTCACTGCCCTCCAGCTGTGTGGCTTTGGTCAAGTTACTCAATCTTGCTGATTTTGTTTGATCCTCTGTGAAACATCATCCACCGCATGTCTGGCAGTTGCTGTGCTGTGCTGGGTGCAACATTAGCTTTGAGCAAATGGCAATAGTCTCACTGCAGCCATCAGACCTCTCTTCCCTGTGATGTTTGGGGCAGTGGGGCTTGTAACCCCTCTCTTCTAACCTCACAGATCTGTGCCTCTCCAACGTCTACAAGTTGAGCAGATGGAATAGAGAGAATCAAGACTTTTGTTTGCTTGTTTTTAGAAAATGATACCAGTCCTTAGGCAGTATGGTCATTCCCCAGGTTCTGCATTAGTTTCACACTGGATGGTACCCCCTGCCTCCAAACTTTCTGCTTTCTTTAATGAACTAGAAAACTTTACTCTAGAGATTCATTGGAGATCCTTCTGATAGCTCTGATTCATTTGGCTTAAATCAAATTAAAAAGTGTAGTGAATATAGGACAAACTCACCGACTGCTATTCTTTCTATTCATCATGTATCTGGCTTCCCGTGGCTACCTCCAACTCACACATTTTTGGTACTGCTGTTCTTATAATGGGGTGCTTATAAAACTAAGAGCGAGGCAAATCAAAAAAGCTGGAAATTCAAAGCATGCTTCCTGCAACCCAGGCCACCTCAAGTTTAATGTAGTCTGTTTCACAGCATAAATGTATAACCAGGGCTAACAGAGCTGCAATATATTATATTCATATACATGAAAGATAAACTGGTAGGCACTCCACATGTAGGTGGGAGAGTTACAGCTGGCTGACTTCTGAGTGGCTTCATTTTTAACTATGATGGGACAGCCACGAGGATCTGTTTCACTGCTATTTCTTTCTTCCTGACTACTGCAGGAGCGCCTAATGCAGCTTCGACATCAGGCTGTTTTGAAATTGGGAATGATCATTTCTGCTGACTGCAATGTGTTTTACTAAGCCTCCATTTCAAAGGGGTCAATCTTCTTGTGCCAGGTACTTTACATAAACTCTTTTAATCATCACGCCAATCCTATCAAATTGATGTTGTTTATTACCTCTCTTTCGGAGATGAGAACATGGAGACTCAGAGGTGTGGAATGAAAGCAAAGTTTGAACTCAGGTCTGATTCCAAAAGCCCTGATATACCTTTCTCATCGTATCGTGCTGACTTCCTGCTTAAAAAAATCAGGTGAAGATTTAATGGAATTTTGGCACCTAATTATTTTTGTTCCATAAATAAAATTTTGCACTATTGCAAACCGGTTTAGATTTAAAATACATAGTGAGAGACCAGCTGAAGGATGAGGCTTCTTTGTTCTCTTGTGCTCAGTGGGGAAGCAAAAGTCTGCCTTCATCTCCATTCTAATTATCCAAAACCTCTTATCTGTAGTGTCACAGTTCATAATAATTAATTGTCATGCCAGAGGCATTGTGACATGCTTGATGGAGTCATGGTGTGCTATGTATACAGAGTAATTAGCAATCATTAGTGGTGGGGACAGAAAGTTCCCGGTGGTTTCATTCAAACTTTCCTTTAGTTAAGTTTATCTCTATGTTCTTTGTGCATAAATGTAGTTTAGCAAATCAGGTTTCAACTGAACCATTTTTATAAGGTGGAAGTGGCAAGAAGAGAATGGGGGTCTCTTTATTTTTTGTTGTTATCTATGTAATGAGTTTCTCTTCCAATAATTTGCATATATACTTCTTGGACCATTAGTTAGCATCATTACCTTTAAACGTAATGTTAAATATTGCTAAATTCAATTACAAATATAAAATGGCAGTAGTCTGCCAAAGGAGATCAGGGCATGGTGTCTAGTATTGGAAGCCCAGAACAAGGATTTTGACTTTCCAGTTGGGCTGCCCACCAGAACATGCTGAAACTGCATTTGATTTTTTTTTTTTTTTGTACTGGGGATTGAACCCATAACTGCATAACTACTGAACCACATCCTTAGCCCTTTTTTATTTTTTATTTTGAGACAGGGTCTCACTAAGTTGCTAAAACTGGCTTTGAACTTGCACTCCTTTTGCCTTAGCCTCCTAGGTGGCTGGGATTACAGACATGTGCCACCCCCCCTAACCTGTGTCTGATTTGGATTCTTTGCAAAGGTTATACCTACCATCACCCTCTGCAGCAAAGATAATTGAAATAACCTGGGCTTGGAGGTACCAAAGAATTATACCAATAACTAAATTTTGAAAATAGAGAAAGCAATCACAAAGTGACCAAGCTTTTAAGGTCTTTCTTAAGGAGCTGAAAGAACAAAAAAACAACTAAAAATAGACCTGTACATCCCAGCCAATCTATATGAACATATGGTTAAGTACAATAAAACCATTTTCTATATTCCAGGATGTTGATATAAATAGCATAAGTTAAAAAAAAAACAAGACAACTGTGGGTACTTTGCAAAACACCTTGATAGCTACCTTTTCCAGTTAGCACCCTCCACTCTCAATCCTTGTGTGCTTATTAAAAAGTGCTTCTCAGCTTGTTGACAGGCAAAGTACATCCCTGCTAACACTTCCCAGCCCTAAAGCCTGAGGAGGGAAAGATGTGGTTGCTGTCCTGTGTGTGGAAGCTGGTTTGCCTGGGTATGCAGTCAGATGAGGCACAGGCATCTTGGGGAGACTGAATCTGAGAACTGTAACCTCTAAGGAGCAAAGTTTCCATAGTAGTAAATCATCCAGGTGTGGATGGGTCACAGTTAACCTATAGCTGGGAAGGTTCACCTTCCTTAACTATTCCTGTCCATGAGTACCACAGAATGCCTTATACTCCCCTAGATTTGTAGGTTTTGATTCAATGGGGGGCCTGACAAATCACCAGGTGGTTTTATGCACAAGCTAAGGAGGATCAAAAGCATAGGAGGAAATCAGGTGGCAGGAAGTGAAAGCAATAGTGGGTGGATTGAGAACTTCTGCTCTCCTGGGGTGCTCCAGTTGAGCATTGATGGGAGGGGGCAGCAGCTGCAGCAGCTGCAGAACAGACAGGTGGGGGCCTACCTGCAGGAGGATGCCCCCCTTTCAGCGGGGACAGCAGAACTTGTACTTCTTGCATTTCGTTTGCCATAGCTCTTGCCAGTGCCTTGCTGGTGCTCTGGAGGCCAAGTGCCAACTGCGTCTGCCCCACAGCACCCCAGCTTTATACGGGGAGGGGGTGGGGCCCCTTAAGGGCATTGCTGAGCAGCAACAGGGCTTGTCACCCAGCTCTTTGGCAGCCTGCATCTGCATGGCAAGTTTTCTCTTTGAAGAAAATGCTCCTCTTTCCTTCATCTGGGAAGGCTAGTAGATAGCTACAGAAGGCAGGAAGCTCTCATTTTCTTTCACAGGAGGAAGGGCAGAGGGTGTTTTGGTGAATTCTTTTTCTTTCTATACCTTCCTCCAGTAAGTACAGTGCACCTACAATGTGACAGGCTCTTTGTTATATGCTGGCATGACAATCGGGACAAGACAAGATCTTTGCTTCAAGACATCTGTGGTTCTTCTGAAGAGATGATTATAAGCAAGTGCCGTGCCTTTGTTTCAGTCTTGGTAATTATAAGCGTTTGTACTTAGAAAATAATTGGAGATGTGTACAGAGGTTTCTGGAGTGTAATTTTGTGTTTCTTTCTCTTCAGTTTTTTTTTTTTTTTTTTTTTTTTTGTGCTGGTACTGGAGATTGAACCCAGCAGTGCACTACCACTGAGCTACAACCCCAGTTCTTTTTAAATTTTATTTTATTTTGAGATAGGGTCTTGCTAAGTTGCTGAAGGTAGCCTTGAACTTGTGATCCTCCTGCCTCAGCCTCCTGAATTGTGGGACTCTTTTTTGTTTGAGGGGAATCAACATAAACATGCCAAAATATAGAGAGGGGTGGTTATATAAGTTAAGATAAAGCCATGTGAGTACTTTGTAGTACATATTACAGATGTTTTCAAATGATATTTAACATGTGAAAATATGAATGATAAGATGGTAGAAAAGTAGGTCAGAAACCACAAGATCCAAATTTTGTCAAAAAATAAAAAGGAAAAATACAAAAAATTACTAAAATCTTAGACCTTGTTGTATCTCCAGGGCCAAAGTTTAGCATATGACAGGAACTTAGACTCTTAATTCTTTAGTTAAAAATTGCTCTTCAAGAAACATCATTAAGGAAATGAACACAAGCTATAAGTGAGAGAAAATATTTATAGAGAACAATTCTGACAAAGTACCAGTATCTGGAATATATAAAGAATTTTTACAACCCAATAGTAAGAAAGCAGACAACCCAATTTAAAAATGAGCAAAGGAGTCAGACACAACTTCACAAGTGGGGGTGTTGACAACAAATAAGCACACAAAAAGATGCTCGGCATCATTAATCATAAGGAAAATGCAAATTAAAACCACAGTGAAATGCTATTACATATTCATTAGAAGGCTTCAACTAGGAAATAAAAAGGAAAATACAAAATGCTGGTGAAGATGTTGGAGCAATGGTAACTTTCAAACTGCTGGTGAGAAGACAAAAACGTGAAACTCGGTTTATAAAATTCAACCTACACTTAGTGTATATAGTCTGACTAATAATCCAATTACTAGGAGTTTTCCCAAGAGAAAAGATAATACTGTGTGGGTACACACACACACACACACACACACACACACATACACACACACACACTGTAAAAATATTTAAAACTGCTCTATTTATTTAACTGACAAAGTAAGAAACAACCCAAAAAGTGTATCAACCATAGACTAGATAAACAGATTGTGGTATATCCATATAATAGAATACAGTTGAGCAATAAAAATGACTGACATGGATGAATCTTAAAAGCATTATGCTAAATGACAGAAGCCAAACTAAAAAACAAAACAAAAACAAAAAACAAAGGCTGGGGGTATAGCTCAGTGGTAGAGGCCTTGGTTTTGATCCCCAGTATGCAGACAACAACAACAACGCAAAACTCAAACCCTACTTACTGTGTTCTTATAAAGTTGAAAGTACAGGAACAGAACTCTTACCAGTGACAGAGGTGGGTGGGGAGAGAGGTAAAACTACAAAGGAGCAGGAGGGGACCTTTCCGAGGTGATGAAACTACTTTGTGTCAATTATAGAGGTGATAACATGAATCATTTTACATACATCATATGAAAATATTGAATTTTATTGCATGCAAAATATACATCAATAAACAACAAAACATCTCTTTGTTAAACAAATGAATGGAGATAGTATACTCCAAAATGCTGAGTGGTCATGTACAGGTGGGATTATTATGGGTTGATTTTTTTGATCATCTTTTAGTTATTCTATATTACTTTTTAAAATCAATAAACACTAAAGATTTTTTTGGGGGTGGGGAAAAGTATGCTAAAGTGTTGTGATAGAAGTGGGTACATGCCACAGGAGCAAAGAGAAGGGAACATTCATATCTTCCAGCAAATATTTTGTGAGCAGCCCTCCCGGCGGGGCCTCCGATTAGGAGCTTGGGTTCAGAGGTGACAACACCCCCTCCTTGATTTCACTGCTCTCACAGTCTCACAGGGGGATGTAAAAGATGAAATGAGAAGGCTGAGAGAATTCCTTCTGTGGCTTGCAAAGTTTATTATGTTATTCAACAGAAATTTCTGTGATAATGGAAATGTTCTGTATCTGTTCTGGCTAATATGGTAGCCACCAGCCACATATTGATTTGAGCATTTGAAATATGGCTGGTGCAACTGAGGAACTGGGTTTTTAATTTTATTCAATATTAAATATTGATGGTCATTGACTTACAGTGGGGGGGGGTGTCTTGATAAATCCATTGTAAGTTGAAAATACCATGAATTGAAAATGCATTTAACACGCCTAAACTACTGAACATCGTAGCCTATCTTAAATGTGCTCAGATCATTTATATTAGCCTACAGTTGACAGAAGAACCAGACACAAAGCCTATTTTGTAATAAAGCAGTGAGTATCTCATGCAATTTATCGAATACTGTATTGAAGGCAAAAAGCAGAATGATTGGACAAGTATGCTATCATAAAGTTGAAAAATTCTAAGTCTAAATCGCAAGTCAACCAGTTTCAATTAATTTAAGTACAAATATAAATAATGAAAGGTGGCTTCTGGTTATGGTATCAGTCAGCACAGAGCCATGGCATAAAACCTACACCTGTGATTGTTGCCCTGGTCTCATTGACTATCCTTTAAATCTGCAAGGTGCGGAAAGCAAGGAAAAATCAAAGGGCAAGCACTTGTAAGAAGAATCTGTACCAAGGACAGCCCAACAGATGTGAAGGAATGAGTGCCTAGACCGGAAGGAGATGGTGTTTGGGTAAATGCTAGTTGATTTAACATCAATGCTAATTGATGTGACAAGGAATCCTGTTTAATGTCATTCACAGGTAGAGCCTTCAACACATGGGTATATGTTGTGAACCTCCACAGGGAATTTAGAAGCCAACATTTCCAGAGCTTTCTTCATCATGGAAAGCTTTGTTCTCACAGCCCTTGAGAACACTTCCTAGGATATGTGCTCCTGAATTCCAACTTGGAAAACTTGTTGGAGGTAATGAGAGTGAAAGTATCCAGGAGGTGATGATAAAGTAACCCAAGAAATATGAGAATCCACAGGGCACCCCATCTCTTCCCAACCCAAACATTTCCCACAAGCGTCAGGGGCTTCAGGTGGACATTCCTTATCCCAAAGTCTGAAATATAAAATGCTTCAAGATCTGAAACTTTTTGAGGGCCCACATGACACAAATGAAAAATCCTACTCCTGACTTGGGTGGTTCTATATATATCAACTTTGTTTCATGCACACAATTATTAAAAATATTGTTTAAAGTTACTTTCAAGCTGTGTTAATGAAACAAAAGTGAATTTTGTTTAGACTGGGCACTGTCCTCAAGATATTTAATTTATATCTATGCAAATATTTCAAAATCTGAAAAAAATGTGAAGTGAACACTTCTGATCCCAATCATTTTAGATGCAGGCTATTCACTCTGTAATAGGTAACATGGCTGCTTGTTTTTCCTTTACCCGCAAGTGGAAAATATCTAAAAGCTTATAATAGGACTGTAAAAGGGGATCTGTAAAAGAGTGGCATAACCTACAAAGAGACAAACCACATGTTTAACTATAAAAATACCAGTAAAAGGGGCAGAAGGGAAGGCCAGTGTGTCTTACCTCCTGGGTGGCCTCCTATAGCCTTTCTTCCCCATCTGGGGAAGTTAGGGACCAGTGCCCTAATTCTGACTGCTGTGGGGTACTATCAGGAAGCTCCTCGGGCTGGAGTTTGTCATCAAAAATCCAGGCCTGCTTTTTGCACTCAGTTCTGTGGAACTTGGATTATTTACTTTGGGGATGTGCTAGAACTTCATCAGGATGAAAGTTTCCCTGAAGGAAGGCAACGTGTTATTACCCTTTGAATGGGTTTATAAACCTCCCTTTAAAGAGGCAACAGGCTAGTTAACTGCAATGGGAGACTGGTTTCTGCTAGGACCAAAGCTTTGGAGTTGTGCTTCGTAATGCTAAAAGCCTAGTAAAATGGATTCTCACGATGGTGAGGTCGCCAGTTAGCATTTTGTCTTTTAAATAAAAGGATAACATAACACTATTAAAATTAATTATATTTCACTTTCGTGGTAATACTTTCTTCTTTTACTTTGTGTATTAGGAAACATTGCTTCCCTCATGTGCTCCTATTTTTGCAGTGTGCATCTCATTATTATTATTTTTGCTTTTAACACAAGTTACATGTGCTAGGTGCAGGACAGGCTGAGTAAGCTGTCTGCAGGGCATGCCAAACAAAGTTAGCTGCAGGATGACCTGGCCTCTCAAACTCTCTGTCTGGTTCTTTATCACCTGTTTGCTTCAAGCCCAAATGCCCAAGCCCCCGCTCAAGGCTGAGTGCTTCGCCCCCCTGCTCAAGGCTGAACACTCAACTCCCTGCTCAAGGCTGAACACTTAACCCCCCTTATGCCAACAAGGCAGCTTGCAGACCCAGAGACCTCATTAGATTTGGGTTATAAAAACTCCCTCCTGCCAGGCCCCTCTCTCTCTCTTGCTGTCTCTCTTGCTTTCTCTGTCTCCCTCTTGTGCTCTCTCTCTCTCTCTTTCTTTCTCTCTCTCTCTTCTCTTTCTCTCTTTTCTCCTCTGTTGCACTGCTGCAATAAAGATCTCTTGGTTGCTCTGAGTGTTGTGGTCACTTTCCTTTCAACATGCTGTATCTAAAGCCCAGTTCTGAAAGGATGAAACATGTGTGTCAGAAGTCATTGTCAAGAAAGTCAGCTGGGAGGGTGGTGACTGTCTTGTGTTGGGATGGTTAAGAGGGAAACTCCCTCCAAGGGTATTGGTCCTGTTTTGTAAGATGCCTGAGCTTCTAGGGCCTGCCTATATTTATCAGCTTCTTTTGTTTACTTTTAAGATATAGTATGTCTTTCTTCTCTCTCCAAACACTGACTGGGATTTTGCTTTTTTCCAGGGACATTTAAAACTCCTAGGCAAGTGCTCTACCACTGAGCGACACTCCTAGCCCTTCTGATGCTTTTATTTTGAGACAGGATTTTACTAAGTTTCCCTGGCTGGCCTTGAACTTGTGAGCTTCATGTCTCAGCCTCCCGAGTAGCTGCATTCAGGAGCATGTCACCGAGTCCTGCTAATACCTTGTATTCTTTTTTAAATAATTGTTTTATTAGTGCATTATAGTTACACATGACTATAGTGGGGTTCATTCTGACATATTGCTAGATGCATATAACATAATTTGCTCCATTTCAATCTCTAGTACCTCTTCTTTCCCTTCCCCACTATCCTGACAACTTCCTCTGCTCTACTGGACTTCCTTACATTTATTTATTGTTTTTTTTTAAATGTTGCATTGTATTTATACACAAAAGTAAAATTTATTGTGATATATATGCACATAGCATAATTTGGTCATTTTCATTCCACACTTCCTCTCCTTTCCCATCCCTTCTATCTCCCCTTTGATTCCCCTTCTCTATTCCGCTGTCTCTTCTATTTTCATGATATCCCCCTTTTAAAACTTCTTTATTTCTTTCTAGCTTCTGCAGATAAAAGAAAACATTTGACCCTTCGTCTGGTTTACTTAGCATGATATTCTCTAGTTCCATCCGTTTACCAGCAAATGGCACATGGCTGAGTATAACCCCATTGTGTGTGTATGTGTGTGTGTGTGTGTGTGTGTGTGTATCACATTTTCCTTATCCATTTATCTGTTGACAGGCACTTACACTGGTTCCATAACTTGGCTATTGTGAATTATACTGTTACAAACATTGGTATGCAAGTATCATTATGCTGATTTTAGTTCTTTTGAATAAATACCAAGGTATGGAATAATTGGGGCATACTGTAGTTTCAATCATCATATTTTGAAGGATCTCCATACTGTTTTCCAAAGTGGTTGCAGTATGACCAACAGTGTGTTAGTGTGTTCCCCCACATCCTGGCCAGCAATTATTGTTATTTGGATTCTTAATGATTGCCATTCTAACTGGAGTGAGATGAAATCTCAGTATAGTTTTGATTTGTATTTCCCTGATTGCTAAGGATGTTAAATATTTTTCAAATATTTGTTGGCCGTTTGTATTTCTTCTTTTGAAAAATGTTTAGGTCATTTGCCCTTTTATCAGCTGAGTTATTATTATTTTTTTTAGTGTTAAGTTTTTGAAGTTCTTTATGTGTTCTGAACATTAATTCCCTGTTGGAAGACTAGCCAGCAAAGATTTTCTCCCATTCTGTAGGCTCACTCTTATGATCTTAAGCGTTCCCTTTGTTGTGCAGAAGCTTTTGAATTTGGGGCCACCTCACTTAGTGTTTTTAATTCCTAGAATTCTTAAACAAAAATTTTTTTGGTTTTTGTTTTTCTCCATTTGCAGGATCTGAAACAAAGAATGCACTAATAATTTGGGGATGTATATAATTGCAACACCTTTGCATATGGGGGATTTCCCCAGCAACAAAACAAGTCTAAATTCTGTGTGTAGGAATGGCATATAAATACTGCTTTGAAGTCAGCCAATCTTGATAACAGGATAAACAATGAAGATCATGTTTTTCCTTGTCTTGGGGCCTTGAAGTTTTAGTGGTGGGCATTAAAGTCAAGAGGGATATAATTTTAATTAGAAGATAATAATTGTTCACTTGTTTATAGAAATTCAGTGAGAAGATTAGTGAAAACACTAATTTCTACATTTTTCTACGTTTTCCATCTCCTATAAAAATAAAATTTACTTAACCCACTGTATAGGTGGGAAAAGGCCAAAAAAGGAGACAATAGAGAAGCAAATTAGCTGTCAAACAAAAAGGATGATAGAGAAATGATCAAAAGCTGCTATTAATCCATTTTTTTGGTCCAATTTTCATTATTGGCCAAGAATTTGAAATACCCATAAAGCATTTGAAAAGTCACACTGGGAATCACTATTAGCAAAACAGACAAGGAATGGCACACTCTGAGCAGCAGATCTAATAATGTTATACATCACAGGGATGTGTGCCCCTGCCATGTGTGAGAGAGGCTTAGGCGCCAGGGACTTTGAAAAGGTTCCAACTGTAGCCACACCAGGGGGGTTAGGGCTGGGGGAGAGAGAGAAGCCTTGAAAGGTTGCCAGGCATCAGCCTGTTGTGGACCAGCATCTGAAGACTTCCCTGTCCCCTTGTCAAGGAGTTATCCTGTTCTGTCTTTCCTTTTAAAGAAAAAACTAGAGCTGGGAATTATATTTTGTGTGTGTGTGTGTGTGTATACATATATATGCATATATGTATTATATATACATATATGTATGTATATATATGCAAACATACGTATATACACAATACATACAAATATATGTATACATATACATATATACATATCTACATATACATAGAAAGAGTATATATAAGTGTATATATGTGTATATATATGTGTGTATATATATATATATATATAGATAGATAGATAGATAGATAGATAGATAGATGCATTTTCACTGTGTTTGCTCTTTAGACTTTGTTCATTATTTTCTCCTCTCTCCATTAAATGTGCATTAGGTGGGGTGTAAGGGTTTTATGGGATGATTTATGGTAAAAAAACATTCTTTTTGTCCTTGGGCTGAAGAGACCAAGACACAATTGCTTGTAAAGGCCTTTTTTTGGTGGTCTGGAGCCGAAGGGTGCTTTTCTGAGTCTGGAGATCTCTTCTGGGACTCCACAGTAATGATGTGATGATTGTTGTTTCTCTGAAGTCCTACCCTACTGTTGGGAAAACCTTCTATTCATTCATTTATTCAGATACTTACAGTATATCTCTGGTTTGACAAAGCCCTGTGGTAAATCTACAGATTAGTCATCTAACTTAACATCTTTGAAGATTTTTACATTTTATTTTATTATTTAAATTTTTTTTTTAGTTATAGATGGATAGCATGCCTTTATTTTATTTGTTTATTTTTATGTGGTGCTAGGGATCGAACCTCACGTGTGCTAGGGAAGCACTCTGCCACTGAGCTACAGCCCCAGCCCCTACATTTTAGTTTTTGAATAGGTAATAAA